GCCACCAGGGAAGCCCTCCTCCTCCTTCTAATCCTCCTGTGCCTTCCTCTCTTTTTCTTTCTTCTTCTGGGATACCTTAGCTACTCTTGGACTATTTATTGTTCTACGTACATTTTAGAATCACCATGTTAATTTCCATGGAAAACCCCGTTCAGATTTTAATTTAAATTCTATCTATTATTGAATCTGGCAATTACGCTATAAAGAATTCACATCTTTGTGACATGAAATCTTTCCATAACTGAACATGGTATGTCTCTCCCACTTATTTAGAACTTCTTTAATGTCTTTCCATTTAGTTGTGTTACTTTTCATCTAAAGGTCTGTACATCTTTTGTCAGATTTATCCCTATGTTTCTATTTTTTGTAAATGATTTTTTTTTTAATTCTCTCTTGTAACTTGTTATTGTTAGTATATAGACATGCTGCATCATTACTTGGTTCCTTTATTTAAAAGATAGATTTCCCAACTCTTCACGACTGCGAGCTAGAGGTAGATGTGTCAACATACACTCAATAAGGTAAATATTCAGGGCTGACATTTGGTTGTGCACAATACCATGGTTGGACTAATTACTAAAATATTGAAATATTTCCACAGAGGAACCCCTGACTTCCCCACCAGCACCCTGGTGATCCTGACCTCTCCCCCTCAACAGACCCAGACCTTCCCAACTTCCAGACACTACTAATGAGGTTTAACATCTTTTCTTATATTTTTAGGACATGCTTGTAGCCTCTTTTATAAAAGGAATTTTTGGGTCTTTTGCTAATTTTTTTCTATTGGAATTTTTTTCTTATTAATATACAGGCATTAATTATATATTTTGGATGCTCTTTTGTGGGTTTTATTATTGTAATATCCTTCTCTGTCTTTTGTATCTCTACAAAAAAGGGCCTTAGGTCTTGCTTCACTGAGAAGACAGACGTCTGTTCTGATTGCTCCATTCCCATGCCATGTGAGTTGTTAAATATTTTGAAAGTTGCCTCTTATGCTCATATGCCAGTGCTAACTTAACACCAAGGGTGAAATATTAACCTGAGTGGTTTCTCAACGAAGGGTGCAGAGAGCACAGAAAGAGGTGATCAGCTCTGGGGTTCAAGTAGGGAGTCAGGAGATTTGAGCTGTAGCCAAGGAGATCGGAGCCAGCACCCACCTCTGACAATCCCCACTTGAAACCCTGCAGCTCACCACGCTCCTCCCCTTGGAGTTCCCATGGGCACCTCGACCACATGTTTCAGACTTTAAATGCTAAGTCTGCTCTCTTCCCGACTCCGCTAATTGTTGGAACAGTGTCTCCAACCATCTTGTCCCCTACAGTAGAAAACTCAGAATTATCCTAGACTCCATCTTACCCTTATTATTGCTTACCAAGATCTGTCAATTCTATGTCACTAAAAAAGAAAAAAATCTCTTGAATATGACTTTTTCCCAGCCCGATTACCCCAACTCCTACATTTTTGAAGTTTCCTAATCAGTCTCTTGGCCTCCAGCCTCTTTTGCTTCTCCAGCCCCTCCCCTGCACCGCTACCAGCATGAGTAGTCCCACCTGGCCCATTAGCCTACTCTGTTTCCTCGTCTGTGGAGGGCAGTATATGGGAGCCATCTGCCTTGGCAGGAGAGAGTATTTTGTCACTGATGCTGATGAGAATGGTGAGAATATAAAGCAGATTGACTTTGAGTTGGTTTTATTGTCGTGTTTAAATTCCCTATAGGCAAATACACCCCTTTTTGCCTACACCTGGCCAGCTGTCATCCCCTTCTCCGTGGCATGACACTGGAGACATGATCTGCCTCACAGAGCTGCTGCGAAGGTTCAGTGAAACAATACTCGCTGGGAACGCAGCCCAGGCCCCTGCCCGTGGTGAGTGCTCAGTCACTGTTAACAGTTGTCTGCAGTAACATTACTATTGGTTCCTTATCTCCTCCATGATTCCTGTTTCTGCAAAGCCTTCTGTGCCTGGCCTCAGTCACTCCCTTCCACCCTCCTGAACCCAGTACTCTAGGTAGCAAACTGTTCTCTCTGCCTTCACCACACCAAGTTTTTCCATGTTCCCCAGCCTTTGCAAGTGCCCTTTACTCAGCTTGGAATGTCCTCCTTCTTCTCTGTAGATTCGTCATTGAAGGTCCAGCTCACAGTCTGCCTTCTGTGACATCTTCCTCATAGTATCCAGGCAAAAAGAATGCCTCCTCCCGCTGTGCACCCAGGGCCCTCTGCTCCTCTCTCCTCTTTAAGGCCGGCCTGGGCTGGAGCTCCTGGAAGGGAGAGACTGTATGTGCTCATCTTGGTGATCAAGTTTGTAACCACAGTCACCAAAATTGTGCCATAATACCGGTTCACTACTTGTGGAGGTTCTGCTTGTTTTGTTTGGTTTTACCGGACGGAATGAACAAATGAATGAATGAATGAAAATGGTTTTGACTTCTTCCTAGACCTAGCAGAAAGTTTGGGTAGTGACAGTTTTGGTCATTTGGGGCAAGCTGATATTGGGCTCTTTCTTCCATGCCCCAAGAAAAATATTCCCAAGTAATAGAGAACCTGTCATCCTAAGGAACTGAACTCAGCAACTAAAGGAAAGACTACATCTAAGAGAAGGGAGAACGTGAAGCAGGTCAACTCTGTCTTCGCAGCTGTCCCTGAGAGGGCGCTGCTCCCAAATCAAACCTCCAGTGGCCGGGAATGAAATACCAGACCGTTCCCACCGAGCTCAGCATCCCTCCCTTTCCAGGCAGCAAGCGGTCGCGGGTCCCTAGTGGGGCGACTGCCCATAAACATGGCGGCGCCCTGCTCAGCTTCTCCCCGCCGGGGCCGCAGGGCCACGCCAGCCTTGCCAGTACTCGGGGACTTCCTCCGCGAGCCGGCTTCCTGCACGGCTGGCATTAAAACAGGCGCCTGGGGCTGCGGGCTGCGGCTGCAGATGCTGAGCTGTCCGCTGGCTGGGCAGCGCCCCCTCCTCCCCTGAGCCTCCCAGGCGGGCGGGAGAAGAGCCAAACCATCCCTAAACTGCACCCGAGCCAAAGCGGGAGAGAGCTGGGGGAGACAGGGGACCCCGGCATCTGACATTTTAATTGCAGGTTTGACTTTTTTCCCAAGATCGCAGCCCTCCCGCCCAGCCCAGATATTTTATCTCCCTCCGGCCTTGGTTGCTAGATGAAGCCGGGCCTGGGCTTGGTCCCAGGAGCAGGGGAAGAGCGCGTTCGCGGCCCCGCGCAGTCGCCCCAGGGACCCCCGAGCCCTGCGCCCCGGCCATGGTGTGGCTGAGCCCCGCGCTCCGGTGAGGCGGCGGCGCAGCTGGGAGCCCGACGGACCCGCCCTGCAGGACGCCTTCCCCAAGGAACGGGGGTCGCCGGACTCCGCGCCCTCCTGCTGGGACTGCGCACCGGGCCCGAGAAGGCGAGCGGTGGCCGCGATGTTCAGCTGGCTGCGTTCCGATGACCGCCGCAGGAAGGACCCCGAGGTCTTCCAGACGGTGAGCGAGGGTCTCAAGAAACTCTACAGGACCAAGCTGCTGCCCCTGGAAGAGCACTACCGCTTCCACGAGTTTCACTCCCCCGCCCTGGAGGATGCTGATTTCGACAACAAGCCCATGGTCCTGCTGGTGGGCCAGTACTCCACCGGGAAGACCACCTTCATCAGGTGAGCCGGCCAGGGCCCCCGCAGCCCACCCAGCCGCCCAGCGCTTAGGCCCTGCGCTCACTCCCGATGTCCCCTCCTGCGTGGAGACAAGTGGGAAGTCTTCATTAGAAGGCTCTGAAAAAATCCTTATGTGCGGGTATCCAAAGCTTACCCCACAATTGCACCGGATGGTCCCCTGCTCTGTCCTACCTAGTGCCTCTCCACTGCACTTAGCCCTTGGCTTTGGTGGTCAGTTTGAAGTGTTAAAATTCAGAGCCATCCCTATTCTTCCCATTTTATGGACGGTAAAACTGAAACCCAGGAAGCCCAAGTGAGAAAGCTCCTGGTCGCAAGAGTACCTTAGGCTGGTGGGGTTGTCTTACCCCCTGTCCTTGTAGGGAGGTACCCTTGATGGGCAGGACCACTTCCCTTGCCTTCTAAAGGCTTCAGCCACTCATATGAGGTCTTTACAGTTGCAGCTGAGGAGGTGGGCTTGGGAGCCTGTGGCCCTCTGTCTGGTAGTTCCACGTGTCCTTCTTTTATCCGTTTCCTTCACTGAGCAGAGCTCCTACAGATATCTCTTGGAGACTGGCGACAAACAGTGTCCAGAAGCAGGATGCATTTTTCTTTTCCGTTGATCTTAATGGCTCAGTAATCATATTAAAGTCTTTTGGAGGTGGAAGGGATATTGGCCATGGTCTCATCCGGCCCCTTGACTTGGCAGGGGAGGTAACTGAAACACAGAGAAGTTAAATACATTGCTCAAAGCCATGTAACAGGGTGGGAGGCTGACCTGGGATGCAGGTCCTGGATGCATGGGAGGAGATGGTTGGCTAAATGCCTGTAACTCTGAGCGTGAGTCATCCATCCCCTTGAATTACAGAATCCCTGGGCTGGAGTCAGGAAGTCAGCTTGTCCACCCTGCGTTCAGAGAGGTCCATATATTGTCCACCAGAGCGATAGGACCTTTCCTATCTTTAGAAGACAGGCTTCTCTCCAGTCCACAGCCTTCAAGGCCAGGCCATCTTCCTTGGCCTCCTTCACAGCCCTGCAAGCTGCTGAGGGTGCTCGTGGCCCTCTGTGTAGAGAGTCAGGCTCGTACACAGTGGTGATGTGTTCTGTGTCCACCGCCCCCAGAGTCAGTGGTGCTCATCTCCTGTGGAAGGTGTCAAAGTAGGGGTGCTCTTGTTTCCATTCATTGACCAAAGCACCTGCAACATGCAAAACACTGTGCTTTGTTTGGCGAGGAAAGCAGAAGAGTTCATGGTCTGGTCCCTGATTTTCTAGATTCAAATTTGCTCCAGCTCAAAGCTTTTAACACAAGCCTTTTGGAAGCAGGGCATGTAGCATACTAACATGTCATGTATGGAACACCAGATGAGTTTTTCCCTGTGGGGTGGACAGCCTTGGACTCAGCAGCTTTGAGAGGCTGAGTGATTTCTGAAGTTGGGTACCCAGGGGGAATGTTGGCTTTTGGATATCTTATATTGTTAGAACTACAAGGGCCCTTAATGATGAATCTAATTCTTTGCTTCTTAACTTTTCAAAAGGTCAGTACCTCCTTTGAAAATCTGATGAAATATGTGGACCCATCTTTAGAAAAATGCACATACATCCCATATTTACGTATAATTTGGGGGGTTCAGGGGCTGCCTTGGCCCTTAGGGCAAGAACCCCTGATCTAATCCATCTCCCTTATTTCGTTAAACACCCATTGCTGCCAAAGGCACTTCAGAGCTACCTGGGTTCTGTTCACGGCTTCCTTTGTACCACGCATCCTCCACCTGGTCCGGTTTATGCCCCACGGGAAGCACAGGCCTTTTACAGGTCGCTCCTGCCCTTGCACAGCCTCCTGCAGCCCTCTGGACACACCTTGGTTATAATTCTTAGTACGTTATTTAGAGCTTCTCCTTCCTGTAGCCCAGCACTTACTACTGTGCCTTAGCTCCCTGGGGCCTTGCCTGGGGTCTCAGCTACAGGAGCTCCCAGTAGAGGTTTGCAGAATGGGAGGGGAGATGGGGAGAAGCTAGCGTCCCTGAGGGCAGGATCCTGGAGCAGCAGACATGCCTCTTGTCTGAGACACTGTCCTGGCTTTGCCTGAGTCATGCTCACTGTTAACTGGGGCTAAGAAAGTGGCAGAGCCAACTTGCCATAGATTACTCCTTATCTGAGGGGGACAGGAAGGCCAGGAGAGGCAGATCCCTCCTCTCTCTTATCCTCCGAGTACAAGAGTTCTCCCTCCCCACTCATGTCAGTAACTGAATTTAGCTCGTGCATCAAAGGCTGTCTCCCTTTGAGGGAGAGACTACCAGCAGGGGAGGAGGGGCTGCAGCACAGGGAAGCCCTCCAAAAGCAAATTACATATTTTCCTTTCTTCTCATTAAATCCACTGAACAGCTATTTTTTAAAATTGGAAAATGCAGACAAGAATAAATTTGAGGAAGAAGAAAAAAATGCCCCATCATCCCATGACTCGGGAAACCATTTTAAATATTATATATGTAGGGCTTCCCTGGTGGCGCAGTGGTTGAGAGTCCGCCTGCCGATGCAGGGGACGCGGGTTCGTGCCCCGGTCCGGGAAGATCCCACGTGCCGCGGAGCGGCTGGGCCCATGAGCCGTGGCCGCTGAGCCTGCGCGTCCGGAGCCTGTGCTCCGCAACGGGAGAGGCCGCAACAGTGAGAGGCCCGCGTACCGCAAAAAAATATATATATATCTTTCCACCAGTATTTTTAGCTATTTTATACACAGTTGAGATCATGCCATAATGTAATTTTGTATGTGGATTTATTTCACTCATAGCATGAGCATTTCCCGGGTAAATTAAAAATCTTTGTAAGCATTATTTTTAAGAGCCACATATTTCACTGCATGTATATGCAGTTATTCATTTAACCAATCTACTTCTTTTGAATGTTTGAAGTTGTTTCTAATTTTATTTTTTGCTATTGTAGAATCGCTCTGAATATCTCTGTGCATAATATTTTCCCACATATTAGACTGTTTTCTCAGAGATTCCCAGAAGTGAAATCACTAGGCCAAAGGTTGTACAGAGTTCTGGGGTTGTTTTTTTGTTTTGTTTTGTTTTGTTTTAACATTTTCTTACTTTTTAATCTTGGTATTAAGAGTCATATTTTTGAGTTGCTTCCCAAGAGGGTAGGCTGGTACAACACCCCTCCCCCAAAGCAAAGAAAGTTCCCCTTGGGGTAGCTAAGTGCGCCTGGGTGCAGAGTACAGCCCGCCTTCGCAGCTACGCCCTCTCCCATCCCTGCTTCTTGCCTTGAACACAGCGATTCAGGTCTGTGTTCCGGCCTGAACCTGTGAGGGACCTTCCCCTCGGGAGCAGACTTGCCTTCTTCACTCCCCGGCTCTGAGTGTCCATCCACTTTCAGTTATATGTACTTGCTTAAGGGTCTACTTCTTGTCTCAGGAAGAACATACAGAAAAGGACATTCTTCTAACAACTAATTAATGTGCTATGACCTCTGCCTGAAATAACTTCCCTGGCCTAAGGCCCGGCAACCCAGGGTAATAAACAATAAATTGGCTGGTGGATGCTTCCTTCAACACAGGCTGCCTCTTCCAAGTACAGTAGCTCTGTGTCCTTCTGGCCTGACAGCCTTCCCTCCCTCCTCTGCTGTTTTTCTCCCTTCACTCTTCCTCCTTCTGGCCTGAAGCCTCAGGTCCCTCCTCTCTCTCACCGTTTGGCCCCCTGGTCATGGAGGTGAATAACTGGCTGCCCCAGGGACTGGAAGGCCCAGTGTCCCCAGCGTCTCAGGGGCCGCAGGGAGGCCTCGCTGGGCTGCGGCGGCACTGGGTATGGGGCCCGGGGCTGCTGGAGCTAAGCTGCCTGGCTGTCCACAGGGAGATCTGAGCTGATCTTGAGGGTCACCTGTGGCTCTTCTATAGCGTGACCCGGACTCTAAACCATGAATGAGCACATGGTGGGGTGGGCCAGTCGGGGGGGCTGCTCAGCCAGCCCTTTCGACCTCCCCCACTTTTTCAGGGGGCTCTCTGCATCCTCCCCCCGAGGTGACGCAGCATTTGCCTGTGGTTGTACCCTCTCCCATCATCTCCCTGGCATCTCTAATGCCCAGGCCTCATGGCAGCATCACCACCCAGGAAAGATGATTCTCTGGAAAGCTGAAGGGCTGGAGAAGGGGCCATCCTTCCATTCCAGGTAGGCCCACTGACCTCTGCCAGGCCCATCCTGCCAGCCACAGCCCCTGCAAGTCCTCACTCCTGTCCCCACTCCGAGGTCCATGGATGTCCTTTTCCTGCCAGGGCTCTGATCTGCTGGTCCTTGAGTGGGACTAGCTGGAAATCCACCTGCCTCTTACAAGGCTTGAGTGTTACTCAAGGGAGCAGAGGGCCTAGGGCAGAGGCACTGGGTCCACCTGCCTGAGGTCCGGCTTAAGATCTGCCTTGAGAGTCAGGTGTGGAGGCCATTGGGAGAAGGACCTCTGGGGAAGGGCTCCATCCCACTCCCACTGACAGCAGAACGCAGCCACGGAAAGAACACGGGTGGCTCGGCAGAACCCAGGCTCCACCAGTTCCCAGCCAAGAGACCATGTTTGGAAGGTCTAACCTTTCTGAACCTCAGTGTCCTTGTCTCTAACATACGAATAGTGACAACTCATAGGGTCACTCAGGCCAGCCTGTCGCAGGGGTGGGCAGACAAGGCAAGGCTAGTGGGAGGCTTGACAGTCTCGCCACTGGTCTCCTTTGTGCTGGGGTCACTTTGATCCCTGGTGGAGGCTGCTGCGCCCCAGGGGCAGCGGCGACTGCTCCGTGGAGCACAGAGCTGACTCCGACCTCAACTCAGCCGTTGAGTCCCCCATCTCCTACCTCACTTTGTGTCCATGGAGTGACTTACGGTATCCCCGGAACCCCGAGAGGCTGACAGGACAAGCATTATTGTCTTGACCCCATTTTAAAGCTCAAGTACACAAGGCTTAGAGAGATCAAAGATACAGATATATATGGGAATTCCCTGGTGGTCCAGCGGTTAGGACCCCTCGCTTCCACTGCAGCGGGCATGGGTTCGATCGCTGATCAGGGAACTAAGATCCCACACGCAACCAGAAACAAAACAAACCAAGATACAGATATATAACACGAGTACCTGTAACACAGGCAGAAAGTGATACATGCCTTCTGCGTCTACCTGAAGATATGCAAATTAAGAGCTATGTGGATTTTCACAGAGGCGGCGAGGGCCCTGGATTTGCAGTCCAGGTAGAAATGCGCTGAGTTCTTACAGGCAGTGATGAGACGTTTGTTTTCTCTAATTATTGTCTCTGCCAATGTGGGCGCATGTCTGGTGTAGCCTTTGCTTTTCCCAAACTCATGTATGTCATCTCAAAACCTTCACTCTAACCCTCTGAGCTAGTTAGAAACCCAGGATTAGCCCCGCTCTATAAACTGGGGAAACTGAGGCAGTGGGCTCTTGAGGGACTTGTCCAAGGCCATATCTGTGATGAAGCAGACGCCCACCAAGGCGCATTCCCTAACTGAGCCGAGGCAGAGGGTCCAGCCAGCCCAGGCCTCTGGTGGTACTTCCTGTGGCCCCGGCCCTCTGTTCCTCGCCCTGGATGCTGCCCCAGCAGAGGGGAGGTTTGGTCCCGCTATTGCAGAGATGGGTACCCTGGAGACTGGGTTAAGATTCTTGGCTCCACGCCTTACCCTGGGTGCTTAGGTCACCAGTAATGCAAGCCACATGCTTAGATTGCCAGCCAAGCAGGACACCAAAAGATGACGGAAATGTGAGGAAAGAGTTTGCTTAAGAAAAATACGGACAAAAGTAGGCCTCATGGGTAAAATCTGAATTGCGTAGGACTTCCCTATGCCCATTTTATGGTTTAGTATGTATTTTACATGGGATAGCAAGGAAGGGGGACCCAAAACTTTTCAGCTCTTTGGGCCTCTAAATGTTTGCATTTGGCCCTGAACTCGGGCAGCCTCCAACTCAACTTGCTCACCTGCGAAACTGAAACAATTCAGCCATCCCACAGCGCTTCTAGGACCGAATAAGTGGGATAATTCAGGGAAAGGTCGCAGAGCAGCACCTGCCTCACAGCAGGTGCTCAGCCTATCAGCCCCTCCTTATGCTCTTGCTTCCCCATCTCAGCTGCTCTCCCCCAGGCTTGAATTAACTTGTCTTTTTTTACACTGCCTTGGGAATGTTTTTGCCTGGCAACAGAGGCCATCTGTATCGCTCCCCATAGAGAAGCAGCCATGATATTCCTCAATAGGTTTTCCTTTCTGGACACAGTGGTGGCTTTGTTAAGGGGGCACTTGGGGCTGCAGGCCGTACCCAAACGTCCCTGAGAATTTACCCAGCCCTGGGTTCTCTGCTTGGCCTGACTGCATCCCTGGCCTTGCTCTTGGCTTCACTGAACTCTGTATTTCTCCAGACTCATGTGTGGTCGGCAAACCTGGGGTCATGTGGGTTTAGCCGAGGAGGCAGGACAGCAGTTCCAGCCACCAGGCCCTGGCTGGGCCGCCTGAGGCTGCAGCTGCAGAACATCCTGGGAAGTGGCCCCCGCTATGCTGGGGTGCATCACCCTTTGCCTGCCAGCACAGTGCATCTCAGGGATGAAATCTGAGACGCCTGGGTCAGGAAGGTACTTCCCCACTGCTGCTTGGCCCTGTTCAGGCTGGGCATTTTCAAGGGTGCCTCAGACTGTTCGCTTCCACCCCTGTCTATTTCAGCTGTCCCTGAAGCCTTTGATGATATCCACCACCCTCCTTCTGCCTCAGAATTTGCCCGTGCCACACCCCCTGCCTGGGGCTTCTCACCCAAGCACCCACTGGGACAGGTGCTCCCTGCACATGGGCAAGCGTGGATGGGGTTTCCAGATCACGGTGTTGATTCTCATGAAACTGCTTCAAGTCCCAAGAATATCCTTGTAGATCCAGTGGGCCTGGCGCTGCTTGGGCCACCTGATAGCAACAGCTCTGCTGCCACGTCCCACCCACTGAGGCCGAAGTGTGAACCCCAAGGGCAGCTGTTTATGGAGATGAGCAGTTCCTGGGTTTGTGGGCCCTGAAGCCTAACCTTTCCCGCAAGGCCTGGCCCCGGCCGGCCTCCTGCCAAACCAGATTCTTCTGTGGCCTTCTTGTCCCACTGCTCCTTCTAGTCCCAAGGGGGTGCTCAGCCCATTTGCATTTCCTGGTCGAGGAGATACCTCAGGCAGGAAGGGAGACAGCGAATGCAGTGGTTAGGAGCGTGAGTGTTAGATTCAAATCCTAGCTCTGCTATTTACTGACTGCGTAACCTGCAGCAAATAGTTTAACCTTTATCTTCTCTTCTGTAAAATGGGATGATGATCTAGGTTCTAGGTACTGGTTTATGTGCTTAAGGTCTGTAACTTATTAACCCTCAGA